TTCAATATTAATCTCCCATTTGCATCAATGACTCTCATCATCTTATCTTCGATTGACACTTTATAATTATTTTCGACCAACTGCCCTATACTGAGCAAATTGCTCTTCATGCCTGGTATGTACAATACATTGGAAATTACTGACCTCTTTCCATCTTTCCTCATAGTCATAACATCACCAATACCTTCAACTGCTAGGATATTGTCATTTGCAAATTTTACCATATTTTTCATTGAGGGTTTTATATTGACAAACCAATCTTTCCTTCCAGACATATGTGATGAACATCCTGAATCCAAGTACCATTGGTCCTTGAATCTATCTTCATATATTGTTGTGACCATCAACATCATCTCTTCTTCTTCATGTTTTGCAAGCTTTGCATCACTTTCTTGATTCTTTCGTTTTTCTAGACAATCACTCGATAAGTGACCATACTTCTGACAATTGTAACATTAAATGTGACTCTTATCAGGTTTTCGACCACCACCTCTTCCTCTATTTGCAACACCACCTCTTTGGTTGCCTTGGTATGGTCTTCTTTGATTCGACACGTTTCCTTCTACATGGTTTCCTCTACCATTCGATTTGTTGTAGCCACCTCTACCTCTATCGAAACACTTTCCTTTGCCTTTGGTTTCTTTTGCTAAATGTGCCTGCAAGGCCATATCACTCTTCGATTTACCTTCAACTCTTTCATTCATTCTTTATTCATGAGATTCAAGCGTCCCTTGAAGCTCTTCCTTGGTCAATTTTTACAAGTCTTTCCCCTCTTCTATCGCCACCACTATGTAGTCGAACTTAGGAGCTAAAGATCTCAAGATCTTCGAAACAACAACTCTTGTTGTTAACGTTTCTCCACATATTGATTTGATTTACTAGTTTTGTAACTCTAGTGAAGAAATCATATATGCTTTCACTGTCTTCCATATGAAGCAATTCATACGTCCGTTTGTGAGTTTGTAACCTCACTTCTTTCACTTTCTCAACGCCTCCAAGAGACTTCTCAAGGATTTCCCAAGCTTCTTTTGCAGATTCTGAATCACTAACCTTTTTGAAATTGTCTGGGCTGACACGTTGATGAATTATAAATAATGCTTTATAACTCAGCTTCTTAAATTCTGTGTATTTCTTCTTTTCTTCTTCTGAAGCATTTTCTCTAAGCGCTTCGACTCCATCTTTTACAAGATCCCAAAGACCTTGACACCTGAATAAGACTTTCATCTGTTTGCACCAATTCTCATAGTTGTCTACTTTTAGAGTTGGTAGAGTTGCTGGATAATTTGCATTCCCATAACTTCTCATCGTGAATTCTTCAATCTTTCTTGATTGATACTTTCCTCAAATCGAAACAAAGCTTTTGATACCAGATGTTGGAAACTCACCAAAGTCTATGATGAATTTCTACCAAAATGACAATTCAATTATGAGACAAACAAATAAAGAAGACAAGACAAATAATTTCTGCAGAGTTTCTCTCTGCTCACAAACTGTGAAAACTTTCTTATTCACTTTGCAACTGCAAAATACTGTGAATGACTTGCTTACAAAAAATAGGGGTTACTCCCTCTATTTATAACTGAGCTTACACCCTAAGCCCAAAGCCCAAAATATCTATTTTGTTACTAAATCAAATCTAATATATTCTAGATTTAAATCAAATCTATTTAAATCTAAAACAAATCAAATCTTTTCGACACATAGTTTCGACACACTGAATTACAATTTAACAGATTAAAGCAGGCTACACACATATTTAATTTGATTTTAGATTTAGATTTGATTTAGATCTAAAATAGATAGATTTGATTTAGTTCCAAAATAAATATTTTGGACTTTTATAGTTTTGGATTTTGGCTTAGAGAGAAAACTAACTTAAATCTATAAATAGAGTGAGTAACCCCTATTTTTGTAATTAAGTCAATCAAGTTGTATTCACAGAATTTGCAATTACAAATAAATAAGAAGTTTTCTACAATTTGTGGGCAGAGTAAAAATCTGCAAAAAAATCATTATCTTCTTTTTTTCTTTCTTTCATATTTTTCTATTAGCATTGTCTAATGATAACAATCTTGTTCATCAAGATTGATAGAAATTTATCATAAGTTTTAGTGGATTTCCAACAAATAAGTGTCAGTATATATGTCATTGAAAACATAAGTATAAAAAAAAATATTTTAATATTAACAAAATTAATTATTATTTTTGATAAATTAGTTAGAATAAACAGTAGGTAAGAGCTAACTAGTCATTTATTTTAACTATACAAATTAAATAATAATATATCAACGGTTAAAGACGTCACTTCTCTGTCATGAGAAAAAAGACATTAACCTAGGCTAAACGGCACCTACTAATTTCCAATATTATTTATCCTTAGTGAATAGGCATTTAGTTTCAAGCTGATCTAAGTAATTTTTGGATAAAACTAAGCAAATCCATTAACCGGTATATGACCAGTTTCAAGGGCCCACTCCTAGGCCTATGTGATGAAAGACAACAATATCTAAATCAAAGCGTCAGAAGAATGAACTTTTATTCTAAATTAAAAATTATAAACTAATTTAAAGGTGAACAATCAATAAAAGTATTACGCGCATGTATTATATAAACCACACAATAATAGTAACATTCCAATTGGACATTTGAATTCATAAAACAAGGTAATTTCAAATTCAAAAACTCATCCTCAACAAAGGTGAATTTAGCTAGTCATGATCTAAGAAACAGAATTAAAGAAGTTTAGAAATTACACATGAACATAGGAGGTGAAAAACATTAACACTAGGAATTCCCACTAAATATCGAATCCTAATGACCTAGCAAAGTTTATTCTCTAATCTCCTAGTGTAAAATACTCTCTCCAATCTGATTTATAAGAAATTTTTCTCATTTTTACAATTATTAAGAAATTATAGTTTTGTGAGAAAATTAAATTGAATGGACTGAATTACCCTCGATCATAATTAAATGAAGTATACTATAGCTATAGGGTGTCCACGATTTTTCTTATTGATAAAGCATTATCATAATTGAATTAATAATAAAAGCAGCATTTAACAGGACATTAAAAAAAAAAAAATCATTTTCATCCATTTGAACTTTATCAAAATTTCTAATGACTTTACGTGTTCTTAAAATTTTTGGATGGAGTAGTTTAAATTTTTTAAACGAAAATTTTGGTGGTAACGTTTCCAGCTAAAAGTTTCACATTTCCCTCCTTAATTTTCTATATATTTAAGATTACAACTAACACTAAAATGAATGTAGTATTTTTTTTTTGTGTGTGTAAAAATACATTTTGATATTGATATTGATTTAAATTTGTGTTTATGTTATGAAGAAGAAGAAACAACTAATGTTGAGTTGAATGTAGATCCCTCCTATGTTGACTTGAATGTATATTTTGTTGGAATATTTTAATTATTTAGTTTATATATTAATATTATAATAATCATGTGTTCAAATATATTTATTTAATTATATTAACTATATTATTAAATAAAATATTTAAAATAATTATGTGATCAAATATTGTTAAAAAGATTATTTATATTTTATTTAAAAATTATTTAATTAATTAAATAAATAATTAGGTATGAGTTCAAATATGAGTGGATGTCAGGATGATCTATTTGAGAATATTGAGAATTCTAATTGGTCATCATACTGTATATAGGCTATGATCCTCAATATACCGTACGCAAGTAAATTATCTTTTCTGCTCATCTGAAGAGTATTCAAAGCATTAGGAGTATCGGTTGAGGAAGAACCACACAAGCCATCAGGTATTCATTGTTTGTCTCTCAACTCTCATGATTACCGTCAACAAAAACTTTCTCGATGGATCTAGGTATTCCCAAAATTATTTTATTGATCCTTCAATTTTATACATGCTTGTATGATTATCAGGTTTCCGCATAAATTATATATTATATTTTATGAGCATGTATATCTGATTGACCACTAGGTCACTTAATTCTAACCAATAGTATCAGAGCTAAATGTCGGGAATACAAAACATGAATGGAGTTACAGAATGATGAAACCAGACTCTTAAGGACATGTAAGGAGTATGATTAGTCATTCTTCTCTTCAAGAGTCATCTTGGGGAGCAACATTAAAGACCGCAATTTATATCCTTAATACAATACCTAGTAAAGTAGTAGTTAAAACTCCTTATTATGGACTAGGAAAAAGCCCAACATTAGACACCTGCACATTTGGGGATGTCCAGTTGAAGCGAGGCCTTATAAGCCTCATGAAGGTAAGTTGGATGCAAAGACATATAGTTGTTATTTTATTGGATACGTTGAACGCTCTTACGGGTACAAGTTTTGCAATTCAATCACTAGAACAATTTTTGAAACGGGAAATGCAAGATTTCTTGAGGATGTAAAGTTTGGAGGGGAATGAAGCATAGAGAGTGTTTCCTTTGATGAAGAAACTATTTCTCATAACGATCAATTCTTTGTACCTATCTTTGTTCCAGAAACAAATCTGAAATAAACAATGATGTTATTTCTAACATCCCTCAAGAACAAGACAATAATGAGTTTCTTCCTTAAGAATCTCCTATAGTTCAAACTCAAGAACCTCAAGAGCCACCATTAAGAAGATCCATTAGAGAGAAGAAAAGTGAAATTTCAAATGATTATGTTGTATTTCTTCAGGAACGTGAGGATTGCATTGGTTTGAATGAGGAAGATCCTATCAACTTTATTCAAGCTATGTGGAGTCCAAACTCTCTTAAGTGGGTTGATTCCATGAAGGATGAGATGGAGTCGATAACTTACAATGATGTTTGGGATCTCGTTAAATTACCTGAAGGAAAGAAACCTATTGGTTGTAAATAGATATTTAAAACCAAAAGGGATTCAAAGGGTAACATTGAGAGATATAAAGATCGTCATATCGCAAAAGGCTTTACTCAAAAGGAAGGAATTGAATATAAAGAGACTTTCTCTCCAGTTTCTTCGAAGGACTCTCTTAGGATTATGATGGCATTGGTATCTCATTTTGACTTAGAATTGCATCAGATGAATGAAAAGACTGTGTTTCTAAATGAAAACATTGAAGAGACAATATATATGGTGCAACCAGAAAACTTTGTGTCAAGAGACCCAAAGTCTATGGTTTACAAACTAAAGAAATCCATCTATGGCCTTAAACAGGCTTCCCGTCAATGGTATTACAAATTTCATCAAGTAATATCCTCATTTGGTTTTGAGGCTAATCCGATTGATAATTGTGTATACCAAAAGTTCAGTGGGAGTAAATTTGTTTTCTTGGTACTATATGTAGATGATATCCTTTTGGCAAGCAAAAATATAGGCTTATTGCACGAAACTAAGAGATTTCTCACAAATAAATTTGAGATGAAAGATCTTGGGGATGCCTCATTTTTTTAGGAATTCAAATACTTAGAGAACGTTCTAGAGGTATTTTAGGATTTTCGCAAAGGAGCTATATTAATACAGTTCTGGATAGATTCCCCATGAAAGAAAATAAACCATGAGACACACCCATTGCTAAAGGAGACAAGTTTTGTCTCAAACAGTGTCCCACCACGGATCTTGAAAAGGAAGAGATGCATAAGGTTCCATATGCTTCAGCTGTGAGAAGTCTTATGTATGCTCAAGTTTGCATCCGTCCCGACTTAGCATTCATTGTAGGAGTTCTTGGCAGATATCTAAGCAACCCTGGTATGCAACATTGGATAGCAGTAAAGCGTGTAATGCGCTACCTGAAGAGAATAAGAGATTTTGTGCTCACTTATCGGAAATCAGATAACTTGGAGATCATTGGGTATTGTGACTCATATTTTGTAGGATGTCCGGATAGCAGACGTTCCACATCTGGTTATATTTTTCTCTTGGCTGGAGGAGCCGTCTCTTGGAAGTCTTCCAAACAGACTTTAGTGGCTCCTTCTATCATGGCAGTGGAGTTTATGGCTTGCTTTGAGGTATCAAATCATGCAATGTGGTTGCGGAACTTTGTCACAAGCCTACATATCGTTGGGAGTATTGAAAGGCCCTTGAAGGTTTATACATGGTATTCTCAGGATTACTGCCAACAGAAACTTTTTCGATAGATCCAGATATTCTCAAAATTATTTTATCGATCTTTTAATTTTATACATACTTATATGGCTATTAAATTTCCGCATAAATTATATATTATATTTTATGAACATGTATATCTGATTGAACATTAAATCACTTAATTCTAACATATCTATCATATGAGAAAGAATCTAATGTTAATTTAAATATGAATCATTTATATGAAGTAGAAAAAGAAGAAGAATGCATAGATGATTTGATGAATGTTGGTCTCTCATATGAAGAAGTTTTTCATGAAAATGAGGCTAAAACTCATTCATCCATCCATGTCATAAACAACCATGCCGATATCTCTCTTAATGAAGCAACATGTTTTTTTTTTCCATGCTTTTATTGTCATGAGCTATTTTAAAGAAGACACGCTATATTATGCCACTTATATTTTTTATGTCTCTATTTTGTATTCTGAATTTCTACTTGACTCGGTACTTTTATTTCCATTTCAATTTGTATGCTATAGCACTTCTACTTCCATGACACAAAACACTATACATTATGCCCACCTACATTTTCTCTACTATGCTGAGTGTTGAATTTCTTTTCATTCATAATGTTACCTATCCATTGTTTCAATAAGAATCAATACATGCAATTGTATTATATTTATAATATATCGCCCTTAGACTAAGATTATTGTCATATTAGATGTGTATCATTAAACTCACGTTAAATGAAGGAGTACTAGTATTGTTTTGGTTTAGAGTAGAAATAAAAAAAATGTTAAATATATATTTTAGTTCCTATTAATATTTAATATGTTTTATTGGTTTGTAATTATGCTTTCTTTTTAATTTGTAACAATTCAATTTTTCTAGTAGAAAATGTTGTTAATGAAACAATACCATTAAAAAAAAACATTCTTTTTTGGACAACACACGGAGGAGAATTATTTTCCAAATATTGATAAATTTATGTTATGAAGGTAATCGTGAATTGTTAAAAAAATTGCTTCCTCTTATTCTATTTTTATAGATGTTATTTATCAGATTTTAAGACAAACTAATAAAATATGTGATGCATGCCACAAGAAAACAAAAAACTGTGGTTGTAAAAGAGTTGAGATAGACTTTGAAAAAATTCACGATATCTCGTTATCTAAACGTAGCACTTTTAGATTTTTAGCAAAAGCTTTAGATATTAAAAGCAAGTTAATAATGGAAAAATATGTGACCAAAGGTGTATTGGGTAAACGTTCAAGTGCGTTGAAGTCACATATAAAAGATGATAATATGAAACGTCTTAGATTCTGCTTGAGCATGCTTGAGGAAACTAGCATTTCTCATGATCCAATTTTTAATCCATATATAACATTGTGCACATAGATGAGAAATGATTCTACATGTCAAAAAGTTCACCGAATTATTGCCTTCTTGCAAATGAGAGAGATCCAAATAGAACTTGCAAAAACAAAAATTACATTCAAAAGATTATGTCTTTAGTAGGTGGCTAGACCCAGATATGATGAGGAAGATAATGTAATGTTCACAGGAAAAATTAATGTGTTTCCACTAGTTGATAAAGTGTCAGTAAGAAGGTTAAGTGTGAATCGAACAACAAAGACACTTGAAACAAAACTAATTACTTCTATTACTAAAAAGGTCAGTCAAATGTTTTAATAAGTACTTCCTCTGTCTAAAATTGTCTAAAATTATAAGAGAAATTTACTTTTTAGATTTATTAAATAATTAATATATCTGATCTATATATAAATCAAATACATTAATTATTCAATGAATTTAAAAAGTGAATTTCTCTTATAATTTAAGACGGAGGAAATAAGATCTTACCGGCCATCAAAAAAATATGGCCACAAGAGCATACATGTGAAACAATTTTCATTCAACAAGATAATGGACTGTGCCACGTTTCTTTAGATGATGATGAATTTTGTGTAACAGTTTTTGAAAAAGGTTTTAACATTCGTTTGACTTGTCAATCACCTAATTCTCCCGATTTAAATGTTTTATATTCAGATTTTTTTAGTGCCACGTTTCTTTAGATAATGATGAATTCTGTGTAACAGTTTTTGAAAAAGATTTTAACATTCATTTGACTTGTCAACCGCTTAATTCTCCCGATTTTAATGTTTTAGATTCAGATTTTTTTAGTGCCATACAATCATTGTAACAAAAGAAAGTGATAAGCTTATTCAAATCGTGGAAAATGCTTATGAGCCTTTTGATATCAAAAGTTCAAACAAGATTTTTCTCATACTTCAATCATGTATGGTTGACATTATGAAGAAAAAATCCAATGACTATAAAATTCCTCATATGAAAAAAGATACATTATTTACTCAAGGAAGGTTACCCACTCAACTCAAATGTGATAAAGAATTAGGTCAAAAAAACTTATGAATATTTGTACAATATTGACTAAATATGTTGTATCATTTCAAAATTTTAAATTAATTCATATATAAGATTTAAATTATGGAAATGAAAGATTGAATTACATGAGTTATTATAATTATTTGTTTTAATTTAATTTTTTTAATTAAAAAATTGAAGAATTAGCAAGGAGTATACAACTTGCGTTAGGAAAAAAATTAATAAGTTGAATTGAAGTAGAATTCATAGTACTACAGTTTCAAATAATTTAAATGAAATTAAAAAAGGAAAAAATAAATAATAATAATAATAATAATAATAATAATAATAATAGTAATAATAATAGTAATAATAGTAATAATAATAATAAGATAAAAGAGAGAGATAAAAAATGTGATTTTTTTTTTGGAATAACCAAGTATTAAATATTTTTTTTGCAAATAACCATGTTTCGGAAAAAAATTACGCAAATAACTATGTTTCAGAAGACTCCCCAAAAGAGGAGTCATCTCACTTGGCGCCTCCACTCAGCATTATGCCCTAGGCACCATCCCACTTGGCGCCTCCTCTCTCTTTTAGTCAACTGAGATGGCGCATGCACTTTAAAAGTGAGAGGAGGCGCCATCTCACTTGGCTCCTAGAGAAAAATACTATTTTTATAAATAATTCATCAGTTTCTCCGTCATTTCTCACACTTTCTCGCACTGTTTTCTTATTTTTTACTCTGTTATTTACGTCATGACATCACCCATGATTTTTACCAGAGATGGTTACGTTATCTTCTCCGCCACAAAACCTCCGATGAAAATGAAATTCTGGCACATTCACTCCATGGAGCGTCTGAAGCGGGAGTTGATGCGATGGCTAGATGGAGACATCGTGGAGGGGGGAAATTAGAAGGATCCAGCAAAGACGAACAGCAACCTCACTTACGACAGGAAGACCTAATGTTTGGTTGGAGGAAGTCAAAACAGACAGCAGTTTTAATATTGATGATGCACGGGTCAGATGAAATTGTTTTAACAGTTGTAATTTTGTAGACGGTTTATCGTGTTTTTTTCTTGTTCGCGCAATGTTTATTGTAACAAATATTGTTAACGAAAAACCCTAATATTTACAACATAATAAAGGAAAGATTTTTTGCAATACAATTTTTATGTGGTTGAGGCAGTAGCCTGATTCGGACAATTTTTGCGATTGTGTCTGACCTGACGACATAAACCACACTTTCTTTCCAACTTATCAAGAGAGTCCATTTCGGTTGTGATGCGCTTACTTTTGGGATGACCCTTTTTATTCCTTCGCATTTGGTCATTGTGCCATACTATTTTACCGTCGTATGTAGGCCAATAATCTGGTTTTGCTACCAAAGGGAAGCTGTTGTTGTAAACGTTGAGCAACATTTCAGATTTGTAAATGTGTGACAGAAGTTGTAGTGTGTCTTGATGAGTATAGGCACACGCGAAAATGACATGAGAGCAAGGTGTGATACGATGGCATAACCGACTGTTTTGGAAAATGCTGGTTTGCATTTTGCGTTTGTGTTTGCAAAATATCGCGGTAAGCAAGAGTCTCCACCGACATTTATTTTATCCAACTGGAAAGGAAAAAAGCACAGAAAAATTCCTTTTTTGAGATTTTGAGTACGGGGGGTAGATTATAGAAAGGGAAGGTGTTAGCACCCTTTCCATCCATGGTTTTCCATGGGCTCTTAGGCACTTGCTCATCTTTTAAAATTGCTTGTGTGTGTTTGTTTTGAAAAGTTTTTGTTTTACTTCGTTTTAACCCTTGTATCAGTCCTCAAGAGTGTTACGAAGTGTTTTTGAAAACTTTGTTTGTAAAAGTGTAAGTGTGAAAAAGAGTTTGTTTTGAGCAAGTACCTACTAGGCAGCATCTACCTACTCGAAAAAAGAATGTTTCTGTTCTTGTTTCCCTTAGACAGCGTTATCCCACTATTAGTGAGTAGGTAGCACCGTCGTTGGAGTTTTAAGGGTCAATTCTAAAGGGACGTACGATCACTAAAGCAATGTTAGGACGTCTTAGTAATAACCCTAGTGTCTTAAGGTCATATTCGAGGCAACATTTCTGAGGCAACATTTCTGAGGCAACATTTCCGAACGGGACTTTTGATCTTTGTTTAGACAAGAGGGCAACCACTAAAATACCCTATACTTAATGATCGTTTACCGAAGGCAACCGAAGTGAGAGTATACCCTAGGAGTGCGCATGTGCGAGTGTTTTGATTTCAAGTTATTATCTTTGCACATTTAGGATTTGCTAACCGTTTTAATTTTAACATACATTCTTGTCATGCAACCCTATTATCATACATCTAACAATTAATATTTGCGAAAATTAAAATGCGGAAAATAAAGCTACGCTATTACAAGGCTTCGGGTGGGGGATTAATTACATAGCCAAAAACCCGTAAAACGATAAATAAACGAAAAGTCCTAATTAAACCATTACATCCCATGAGCAGTTACATCAATATTGTAAAAATTAGTAAACGCGCGATGAATCGAGAACGAAAGGAAATTAGGGTTTTGACCCCGTCTAACCTAATTAAAAGAAAAATTATTTTTGTTATTTTTAAGAAAATAAAATAAAAGTTAAATAAAATAAAACCTAATTTTCTA